ACTTATTGTTTAACCTCATGTTCTAACTTCTATTTCCTTTTTGGTCAGTCGCTATTGTTGCGCTTAGACCATCATGATATTTCCTTATATAGATACATAATAACCTCCGATAGTTTAAATACGCCACCCGGTCATCTTGTATCTTTAGTTTGTTAATTAACGTTGTATGACACGGCACTCTTCCTCTTAACGTTTCTACTTGGCAAACCCGAGTCAGCTTCGTCCTAGAGTGTTCTCCCTCCGACTTCCTCCGTACCTCCGTTCTACCTCCGTCCCTCCGAAGAGAAGGATTCCTGCTACAGGCTCTCACCCTGCTGTTTGTGGTGTTGAGTGAAACCTCCCGCACGATCCGGTCGCCACCTCCGATCTCCGATCGTCGATCTCCGATCCCCGATCTTCGACCCGACGCCTCGGCGCGTTATCCTCGCACGAGTTCCTCCGGTCACCCGGTCGGCCGAATCACTCCCTCTTCCTAGTCCCCTCCGCCGCGTATATAACAAGTCTCCGAACACTCAAAAGCACCTGCGAAACATGTTGCAGCATCTGGTTTCCTCATTCTGCTCACCCATATCATCGGCCGTAAGTTCAGAGCTCAGGAGTTGCTTTCTGCCTGTAAAATAAATTTGAGGGATTTCCTGTGTTAAATCCCCCGGGAATGTCCCACGCACAATTTCCATTTGCTCTCCCAAAAACGATTTATAAATTCATTACTTCGGGGCTCAAATTTGGGATCACCAGCAAGGACGACACTTCGCCTCGTCCTCCCGCTTGCGCGCCTCTCTGGCGGTGATCTCCTCCTCCGGGGTTGGCATTTGCCTGTTGATATCCGCCTCGTCGGCGGAGACGTCCGAGTCGTGCGACTCGTGCGTCGAAGGCGGGGACGGCGGCGGCGTGTTCTTCAGAGTTGACATGGTGGTTGAGAACAAGATTGATTGATGACGAAATTTTCACCGTGGGAAATTTGGTAATCCTAGCAAGTTGACCACGTGACTCGGCATCTCGGCGCCTCGACTTCAACTTTTCTTCTCCGACATTCTTTCCTCCGATGTTTCCTCCGACATGTCCGACTATCACCTCGGACGTCCTAGCCCATGTTCCTTGTGGGAAAGAAAGGTAAGAGGGGGATACTGTTATATCCGTGCATCGGACCTTGGGACTCGGCTCTCGGAGCTCGCCCGACCTCCGACGGCGGTCGGCCGACGGAGCTCCTCCGCCGACTCAGCTTCACTTCAAACTCCTTCGGACCTCGTGTTCGAACCGGGTTTTTACGCAATGAAGGATTACTGAGCATTTCCCGTTTATCCGTCTTCTCTCTTATTGTTTATCCTCATGTTCCAACTTCTATTTCCTTTTTGGTCAGTCGCTATTGTTGCGCTTAGACCATCATGATATTTCCTTATATAGATACATAATAACCTCCGATAGTTTAAATACGCCACCCGGTCATCTTGTATCTTTAGTTTGTTAATTGATGTTGTATGACACGGCACTCTTCCTCTTAATGTTGTCTACTTGGCAAACCCGAGTCAGCTCCGTCCCAGAGTGTTCTCCCTCCGAACTCCTCTGTTCCTCCGTTCTACGTCCGTCCCTCCGAAAAGAAGGATTCCTGCTACAGGCTCTCACCCTGCTGTTTGTGGTGTTGAGTGAAACCTCCCGCACGATCCGGTCGCCACCTCCGATCTCCGACCCGTTGTCTCGGCGCGTTATCCTCGCACGAGTTCCTCCGGTCACCCGGTTGGCCGAATCACTCCCTCTTCCTAGTCCCCTCCGCCGTGTATATAACAATAGCCATGAATGGTCAGGGATTGTTCGGCTACGCGCAGAATGGATGGCGTACATCTTTGGGCCATTTTGCGGGTGAGGAGTGGGTCGAAAGTGAAGGTAATGTTTTGAAGTGCACGTAAAAAGTCCCACCGCTTATATACTGTTTCCAGACTTGTTTGAAACGCGGAGGAGCCGCTCATTACTGTATGTTCCTATGAAGATGGTCGCCCCGTGAGACCTAGCCAGAATACGCGGTATTGAAACGTCGGGAGGAATTTACGGGACCAATGAGTTACGAGTGACTTACGTTCCGTGACGCGACGCGCCTCCACCCTCTTCTCCCTCTTCTCGACGCGTCCCATGCCTCCAAAGCGCCGGCGTCCCGTGGATGAGAAGATCAGCCAGGGCTGTCGGCTCCTTTTGCAGCAGGTGCAGAACGGCCAGAAGCCGAACATCAAGCAAGCTGCTCGCGACGTCGGCGTTGTCTACGAGACTCTCTGAGCGCGCTTCAAAAACATCAACAAATCGCCTGAAGAGGCACGGGATGCACAGCACTTCCTTTCTCCATTGCAGGAGCACGTCCTGGTGAAATGGGTGGAGCATCTCGGGTCTACAGGTGTTCCGCTATCGAAGAAAAGCATTCGAGCTCGTGCCAGCCATCTTCATGCCAACAAGAAGAAGCCCAGTCGTAACTGGATCTACAGCTTTCTTCGACGCCATCCTGGCATTTCCCTGTTCACGGGACATGGGCTCAATCCGAAACGTGCGAAGGCGTTTAACCGGCCCGTGGTGGAACGCTACTTCGACAAAATTCATTCCATCATCGAAGAGAACAACATCCCGATCGAGAATGTGTACAATATGGATGAGAAGGGCTGTCAGAGGGGTGGAGGGAAAAAAAGCGAGTCGCCAGAAGTATCTGTACTCACGCAAACAACGCGCCAAGATCAAGCACCGCAGTGCTAATCTCGAGCTCATAACTGTTATGGAGGCAGTATCTGCAGATGGGACTGGGCTCAAGCCGGGCTTTGTATTCTCGGGATCGACCCAGTGCCCTGAGTGGTTCGATGTCGACGACGAGATCATGTACGCCTCCGCCCTGTGCTATCTATTTGCGTGCACGATACTGATATCTTTGTTTATAGTACGGCCATGTCTGCCAACGGCTGGACAGACGACTTTATCGGTGCTGTCGTTCGTACCTCAAGCTACCGCTCGTAATGTCTCTGGTGCCCCCATCTTCATCGTCTTGGACGGCCACGGCTCGCACGAGGGGAAACGGATCACTGACCTCGCCGAGAAGCACGGCATCATTATCCTCATCCTCCCACCTCATACTACACACAAACTCCAGCCCCTTGACGTCGGTATCTTCGGTCCATTCTCGCGGGCATGGATCGACCGTTGCGACGACATTGTGGAGGCTACGGGCACCGAGATGCGCAGGGAGGACTTCATCAAGGAGTACATGGCGGTGCGTGCAGACACCTTTCGCCCCTCAGTCATCAAATCTGCATTCAGGAAGAGTGGATTGTGGCCGGTCGACAGCAGTGTCTTCACCGCTGAGGATTACGCTCCGAGCATCCCATATTCCACGGAAGCTCGGGACGTACCTGACTTGCCGACATTCCCACCTCTCGCTCCAATGGCAGCTCCATCTCGGCGCGACTACGACTCTGATGCCAGCAGCAGCAGCGGTGACTCCGACTCCGACAGCTCCGATTCGGATTCTGATACTGACTCAGACTCGGACCGGGACGAGCCTGCACTGCATCGTAGTGCTACCGCTCGCACACCGACGGCATCGGGTTCCGACTCGAATCTTACCGCCGCATCCTCCACGCCCTTGCCTTCCTCATCACCCGCCACTGCCGGGGCCGCCCGTGTCTCTCTTTGTTCCAATCTCACGCTTCCCTCTACCCATTTCTACTATGATCCTGTGCTCTTTGAGCGGATCCTGCGGCTGGAGCGAGAGGTGCAGTCGCTTCATGCTCATTCGAGCATGCTGGAAAGCGAGCTCGCCAAGCAGAAGCGGGAGGCGCGGCCGAGCAAAAAAAGGAAGCTCAATGTCGAGGCGCGGGTGCTGACCTCTGCGGAGGGTAAGCTTCTGGTTGCGGAGAAGGATGCGGAGAGGGCAACCAAGGAAGCGAAGAAGAAGGCTACTGCTGACCGCCGCAAGGAGAAGGAGAATACAAGGGGTCTACAGCGCCAGACCCGTGATCCCCTCCAGCCCTTTACCGGCTTGCTGACAGCCAAGAACAAGGATGATCTCATCGATGTCGCCTACGACCTCCAGCTCGCTGTCGATGGCACAAAGGCCGTGCTTTTGAAGCGCATTCAAGACTATTTCAAGTATCATCCTGATCAGGCTGTCGCCGAGAAGTATTCAGGTTTATTCACCCGCGCACGCCGTACTGCTGCTTCCGATTCTGCTACACGATTGGTGTCCACCACCGCCGTTCCCGCCGTCCCAGCGCTTGAGCTGCGCGTCCAATCCACATCACAGCTCCCTCTCCGAATGCCGCTCCAAAATGCGAATCTAGATGACGCCGGCGCTTACTCAAATCACAGCTTTGACTTTAGATTCCAGCCCTTTGGGACACCTGGGAACTACGGGGCTACGGTTCCATATGCTGCTGGACCCTTTCACGAGAATACCGGTCCATTTCCGTTGTACACCTTCGACACTTCTACTTTACCACCACCATTCAGCCAACAGACCAATTACTTTGATCTATAGCCACATACATTCTATAGCTATGTATAATTTTTGTTTTGGATTAAATTTGGGAAAGCGGAAACGGGTTTCCGCTTAAGCGCTCAAGGAACCCGACAAAGGTGGAGGACGCGAATTTTGCCGGAAATGGCAATTGCTGTCAATCAGCTCGCTTCGGCGGACATTGAATTTCAATTTTCCGCGGGACGGCGTCGTACAGGAACATAGGTGTGGTCCCAAAATCCATCAGGATTGATGGACCGGCGAGCGCGTCTCTGACCACTCCCTACCCGGATCTCTTAGAAAATTTGGATTCCTGGAGCCAAGATGTACATTGCAAAATCCCGGAGGACTCCGGGGGCAAAGAGTAAGAGGGGAGGGAGGAAAATGCGAAATGCAGACCCATTGGGAAAATGCAGACCCGTTGGGCATAATAGTAAGAGATACAACGGCAGGTAGAACCTGAATAAAGGTCCCCCAGTAAAAGATACAATGGCAGGCAGAACCTGAATAAAACAACTGCTCCCCATGAGGGTCGAACTCATGACCTCCAGATTACGAGATTGCACAATCCCTCACATCACTATGAGACTGGCGCTCTAACCAACTGAGCCAGGGAAGCTGTGTCAATTTGACCGGGTCGGAGCCAAAATCCGTATCGTTACTAAACATAGCGAATTCTTGTATGGCAGTTCATAGAATTCACCAAAAAAAGTCTCACAACATATGTTTCCGGGAAAAAAAGAGAAAAAAAATCCTTCACCAGACTGTCGTTGAAAAAACCCGTGTGGCCATCACGGACCTCCAGCCTGAGGCAAGCGTGCGTAAATAGTGTACATGTGATTGAGCCGTTTCGGGAATGAGTTCCGTTTGTGGATACTATATGCACAACCCCTTGACTCGCTGCTCTTGACCTGTTCAGATCCACCATGTCGGCTGGATTTCGAATCACCCCCGCGCTATGGGACCGTATCCACCACTTCGCGTCTTTTCCGCAGACTGGTGGTACGCTTTGCAACTGTATCGCCGGCCCTCAGTCTCACAAGACCCGACAGTTTCTCTCCAGCAAATGGTCCTCTTTGGGCAGAACCCCAGCCAGGGAACCCTGCTGAAAGCCAGCCAATTTCTTGCTGGTGAGCATGTTGCCTCATCATCATATGACTCGCATGTGAACCGTGTAAAGAGGAATTGCCGGTAAGGCTTGCACATCGAGTCAAGGAATTGGATGAGCTTCCGCACAACCTCAGCGCGATGCCTTCCATTAACAAGGTCAAGAACTGGTACGCCCAGTCCTTCGAGGTGCGTTTTTGCTGCTGGTGTGACTTGATGTCGCGGTCTCGAGCAGCATTCATAGGAATTGATCACCTTTCCCGCCGTTACGCTGGCGCCGGATATCCGGCAGGCACTCATGACGCCGCGCTCTGACGAAATCACGCTGCCCGAGTCGACCCCAAACCCGTCGCTCAAGGGCGCCGGCTTTACGCACGGAAACGGCGCGAATGGGAATGGATTCAACAAATTGAAGCTACGAGTGCCGATGGAGCGACGGTGCGTGGGCCTGTTACTATTTGTCTTTCTCTTTTGACGCCATGCCAGATACTACGCCAACACGCTCGGTATACACATGCCGCCCGAAGTTCAGCACTACAACAGACGGTTCACAAAGACGCTCGAGACCATCAAGAGCCGGCACGACCCGACAGTGACCACCGTCGCACAGGGTGTTCTGGAGTGGAAGAAGAGTCAGAGAACAAGTACGATCGGTTTGGACATCCAGGCGTGGCTGGACCGGTTCTACATGTCGCGGATAGGGATCCGATTTCTGATTGGGCAGCGTACGAGGAGTATTTCCAAGCTTGCATCGAATGAACTGAAAGAAAAGCAGATATTGCGCTAAACACGCAGCAGGCTCACGAGGATTACGTGGGGATCATCTGCACGAAAGCCGTATGCTGATTTCTTGTGCGTATACGCCACCTAACAGTCAACAGAACGTGCATGACATTGTCGAGGAGGCAATCGAAAACGCGCGCTTCGTATGCGAGGAACACTACGCGATGTTCAAGTGCCCGCCGGTGCAGCTGATCTGCCCCAAAGACCTCTCCTTCCCCTACGTCCCCGGGCATCTCTCGCATATCTGCTTCGAGCTCCTCAAAAACTCGCTGCGTGCGGTGGTCGAGCGGTACGGCGTGGACAACGAGGACGCGTTCCCACCGATCAAAGTCGTAGTCGTCGAGGGCAAAGAGGACATCACAATAAAGATCTCGGACGAGGGCGGGGGCATCCCACGGAGTGCGATCCCTCTCATCTGGACGTACATGTACACGACTATGGAGGGGCAGGGGATCGACCAGGACTTTCACGCGAGCGATTTCAAGGCGCCGATGGCGGGCTTTGGTTACGGTCTCCCGTTATCACGACTATATGCGCGCTACTTTGGGGGCGACCTGCGGCTAATTGCAATGGAGGGGTATGGCACGGATGTCTACATTCATTTAAATCGGCTCTCGAGCAGTCGCGAGCCACTTCTATAATCTGTAAACCTCAACTTGTACAATATCATCGAAATCCTTTCATTACTGCGCGTCGTGTGTTCTGTATTTTACACGCAAGACCATCATAATTACTACAAGGGTGGATACAAGTACACAAAGCAAATAAGAAACAAAGGGAACCCATCCATATTCGCCCAAGTCCGTATATTTTATTTTGAGGGCTGGCCGTGCAGCCTAGACGTCGTCCCGCCGGTCCCATGCACGCTTCATCGGCAGGTGGTACGCCGCTGGCGCGGCAGGGTAGCTCCATTGCTGCTGCTCGTCGTACCCATAGACAGGAAGCTGCTGCTGTTGCTGATAAGCGCCCTCGTACCGCCTCTGCTCGGTCCTCACCCGCTCCCGCTCCCGCTCCCTCTCGCGCTCACGCTCCTTGAGTCCTTCGCGCTCCCTCTCCCTGACCACCGTGCGCTCCGCCTCCGCGCGCTCCAACTCCCCGATCTCCTCCTCCAACCGCGCATTCGCAAATCGCAGCTGTTGCAGCTCATACTGCCAGCTCCCGCCCGTCGCCGGATCCAGCCGCTTGAACACATCCTCGCCGGCCGCACGGGGCACGAAGGGTGCGCCCGCCGCGCGCACGGCGTACATGAGATGCGCGGGTGCGACGGCAGACGGGAGCGACGGCGACTGGGGCAGCGGGGCGACGAGGCGCACGACAGCGTCCACGGGTCCGTCCTTGCCCTGCAGCGCGCAGCGCACCTCGCGCGTACTAGCGGCAGCATTGGCGGGGTCCGCCGCGCGCGCGGCGCGCCACGCAGCCAGTAGCGCGTCGACGGGGGATTGCGCGCCGGCAACGCTGAGGCGGTTGTCGGGAGCGACGAGCGCGCCGAGGCGCGTGCCGCGGAGCGCTTGGGGTTCCCAGCCGAGGAGCGCACGCACGCCGGCGCCAACGGAGAGGAGGAGCCCGTGCGGGTCGACCATGCCGTGGAAGGCGGTGGGGACAGCGGCGCTGGCGCTCGGGTCGGGCGACGGCGTTCGTAGCGTGCTGGACGAGCCGCGCGTAGTCGATCCCTGTTGCTACAAATCAGTTTCCACTCCCCTGCTTGTACCGCAAAGCAGCTTACCTCGATCCTCGCGCGCTTGGGCTGCAGCGCATACTCGAGCCCGCTTACCGAGCCAGCGGGCGAGCGGGTGGCCGGGTACGTCGACGACGTGGGGGAATGCGGCGCAGTCGGCGGTGCATAGGTGTAGCCCGCGCTGCGCGGGACGCTGTACCCTCGCGGCACCTCACCGTCGCCCGTCTCCGGGACACGCGCCATGCCCCTCGCACGGCCGACAAGCACGATCGCCTTGCGGCCCTTGCCCGGCTCGACGTGCAGACGCCCGCGGCACTCGACCCACACCCAAGAGCCTGTGAACGTCGTAAGCAACAGCGTTCCTCCAAGGTAGATATAACGGCATTGCGAGCGAAGCCTGTTGCTGCCCTCCGACGCACACCCAGCTCGGCCGCCATCGACGCAGAGCGCGGACGCGAACAACAAGCACAAAGGATGGGGCGAAGAAGAAAGAACAATGAGGATCGGCGCGGTACCGCTACGCACCCTGCTTCGTCCTCGCGCGGAACACCAAGTCGACCGTGCGCAGCGCGTCCGCGGGGATCAGGCCGCTAACGCTGGCGTTGACGTCGCCCTTGCTGTTGATCGTGTTTGGGTTGTTTAAGTTTGGACCTGAGCGAAGGTTAGCATGTGTATTGGGGCTGATGTGGACGAGCGAGAGAACGAGGACAAGGGACATGTCCGCCGTATGGCAGATCGTGTAGAGGGAAAGATGATAAAGAAATAGACATACCCTTCTCCCCACCCCCCTTCTCCGCCTCGACGCGCCCAGCGCCATCAACGGGGAGACTCGCTTCTTTTAATGCACGACCGACTATCATATATATATCAGCATTTGTTCACAAGAATAGAAAAGGAGAAGAGACAGACGCACCGCTAACCACATCCCTCGCGAAACACACATCCGCCAGCGCGCGCCCGACGAGCTCTGCGGGCTCCCAGCCGAGAACGCGGGTGACGGCGGGGGCGACGTAGAGGAAGGCGCCCTGCGAGAAGTGTCAGCGAACGAGTAAGAGCGTTGGTGAGAAAGAGGAGGAGGAGCAGTGAGTGGAAAAGAAAAGTTGAGGAAAGATGGGGCGGAAGAGAAGAAAGTGGTGGAATCGAGAGTCGGAGGGAAGAGGTGCGGTGAAAGAAGAAAGAAAGAAAGTAACGGGAACAAGATAAAGGAGAATTGGGGAAGGAGATGTAAAGACATCGGAGGGTCTCTGCCAAAACGCCTCCGAAACGCCTCAGAAGCGGAAACCCTCCCCAAAAACAGACATACGTCTCTTCTCTCTCACTTCCAGTCCACACCCCCTCCTCCCTCCTCCCTCTTCCCTCGCACGCTCAAATGAAAGCAAAGCAAAAGCAAAAGCCGAAGCCAAAGCCAAAGCAAGAAGAACCAGGGTGCCACCCCCAAAACGAGATGAAGCGCATAATGACACAAGCTCCAAGCTTCCTCCGTTCATCCGGCTTCGTTTCATTGAAGTCATGTGAAGAGAAGGTGGGTGAAGCAGAGTCTGGTAAATGGAATGAAAGAAGGGGAGGGGAGGGAGGGGAGATGAAGTCAGGTGAAACGAAGCCAACGCGTAAATGGAACGAGGAGCGATGAAAGGGAAGGGGAAGCCGAAGCCGAAGCCGAAGCCAAGGGAGATGAAGGGGACGAAAGCAAGGAAAGGAAGAGCGGGCCGCGGAAGCAGGGGGCCTCGTAAAGGAAGGTAGATAGATGGAGGGAGAGAGGGCGGGACGCGGGAAGCGGGAAGCGTGCCGTGCGCAATGGGGATGGGGGGTGCGCGATAAGCGAAGCCAAGCAGTCTGGCTAGGGCGGGCTGAGAGAAGCCAAGCCCCGCCCGCCGTCCCAAAGCAAAATCCTCCCAAAACGAGTCTCCCTCAAAAAAAGGAGATCCTAGATGACGCGTAGCATAGCAAAACCAAAACCCCCCGCAAAACAAAAACAAAAACAAAACAAAAAAAGTAGACCCAATCGTGCGAGAAACACACCTTCAAACTAAGCACATGCACGAAATCCGGGAGCT